GTAGGATAGAAAACAAAGAAGGGAAGGGACCAGTTGTTGAATTAATTAGCAACTGCTACAGGAAACACTTTGCGTTTTTCCGTGCAGACTGTGCAATACAGTGCTACTGGATGAAATTAAGAAAATGAAATCAAGAACTTGGCAAGTTTGATACGGAGGCTGGGTCTGTATTTGCATATCAAAAGTAGCCAGAATTTTTGGAACAGTAGCACACATTCTGAAAGGGATTTTACACTTTGTTTGAAGAGTTAAATCAGTTTTGGGTTATTAGAGACTGCAGAAGGAGACCTGATTTGCATATGTGCTGTCGGTAGGAATCTTATACTTCAGCCTGGCACGTCCCCAAATTGGACACCAGACAAGATGGCCACGGGCCTGCTCCTGCCTGTCAGTTCTCCTGGTCTTGGATTTGTGGTGATGGGATGGAGGAAATGGAAATGAATGGGCAGGAGGGAGAATATTTAATAGCGAAGAAGAACTTCTCTGCAGCGGGCAGAAAGCCAGCAGGTCTGCACCAGCCATGTAGGAGCCTATACTCAGAGCAGGTCACAGAGCTGGATCTCAGCCCTGGCACTTCTGCAGCCATTTCAATTAATGTCATCGTTCGAGGCAGAGCTCCTGGATGGAAAATGTGCACTACTGTGAAATGTGATAGTGTTGTGCCCTGGGGTTCTTCTTTGGAAAGTGCTGAAATGCACAGTGCCATGTGAGAAGAGCTGATACCTGAGGGCTCCTCGCCAGCTGGTGCCAGAATGGGACCCACCGACTCAAGTTGAAGATGACAGAGACCTATGTGTGAGCAATACATGTTTTCTTCTTCTTTGTGTATTCCTTCTCTTTCTTTTCCTTTGCAGAAAAAGCATTTAGGTGCTGGAATAGATCACGAGAAGGTGCGATCAGTTCTCCCTCACTGGAAATCATTCTCAGGCATGTGTTGGATACCCGTGTACAAGATGTGTTGTAGCTCCACCAGGAGACACTGGTTTCCATGAGGATATGTTGCCAGGAATTGTTAAATAGCCAGACATCATAGTAACACCAGGTCTTCCTGGCCTTAGAATCTGGAGCTGGCCCCAGCAGTGTGATCCCACTGGGCAGCCTGTTCCAATGCTTTACAACCCTTTTGGTGAACAATTTTTTTTCCTAATATCAACCTCTAAACCACCCCTGGTGCAACCTGAGGCTGTTTTCTCTCATCACTTGGTGGTTGGGAGAAGAGATCAATCCCCACCTTGCTGTAGTCTCCTTTAAGGTAATTGTAGAGCATGATAAGGTCTCCCCTGAGCCTCCTTTTCTCCAGGCTATGCAACCCCAGCTCCCTCAGCTGCTCCTCACAAGACTTTTTCACTTGATCCTTCACCAGCTTTGTTGCCCTGCTTTGGGCACACTTCAGCACCTCGATGTCCTTCTTGTAGTGAGGGGCCCACAACTGAACACAGTACTTGAGGTGTGGCCTCACCTGAGCGGAGTACAGGGGGACAATCACTTCCTGGTCCTGCTGGCCACACAATTTCTGATATGAGCCAAGCTGCTGTTGGTTTTCTTGGCCACCTGAGCACGCTGCTGGCTTAGAGAAAAGTGGGGAAACAAAATGCTTTGAAAAGCTGTTAAAGGAGGGAAGGTATTTCTTGCAGAGCACTAACCCATCACACCTTACTGTGTATGTCCGGACAGGTGCTCGAGTACTTTGCCTGGGAGATGCGGGGACCAGATTGGCACCACAGCTGTGTGCCCCTGCCTGGCTTGAAGGACACAGCTTCACAGGCCTGTGCAAGCTCCTGGGGGCAGGCCAGCAAGAAGGACACAGCACTGATCGGTGGGACCTCTGCTGCACAGCTGGTGGGAAGCAAACCCTGGGGATCTGTGGTAGGGGTGAAGCTGTCGCTGTTTCACACCTTCCTGCTGGGGAGAACTCCCCTCTGGGTTTTTGTTCTTCGGGAGCTGGTGCAGGAACATGTGGGATGCACCAGCAGGGCAGGGTCAGTCTGGTTGTCTGAGAGTGGTGCCCTGGCCCGGCTCTATGGCACAGCCGGGGGGTTACACCTGGTGGGAAGGGGCTTAGCCCTAAGGGACTGAGGACAAGGACTTAATTCTGGCACAGATCCCCCTGTGTGCTTGTTCACAGCCTGATGAGAGCCATGGGAAGAGCTGTGTGTGCTCGCCTCATTCAGTGTGTCTTTTCTCTGTGCATCTGGTGGGGGAGATGGGGCACAGGAGAGCCCAGCCCGGCATGGCACGGCCCTTCCCGTTGTGTCCTCCCATCCCTGGCCTGCGGGTGTGTGATTTGCCTGCAGCACCAAGCGTAGGTGGCTTTTGAGAGCAGAAAGGTGCTGAGTACATACTCCCTGCTATTTATCATCCCATTTGCTATGTCTGAGGGGGCCATGTGGGCAGTGGGAGAGCAGGGTGTGAGGGAACGAAGGGTGCTTCTGAGCTGCGGCTGTTTATCACCCTTGCAGAAATCCTCCAGTACAGCAGCCAGACAGGCACGCACACTCCCCCAGCCCCCTGATCACGTTATTATATTACACCTGACATTCCTTTTTTTTTCTTTTCTCTTCACTAATATGTTATTTTTGGCCTGACAGCTTTATGAAGGAGAAAAGAGAAATAGAGAGTGAGACACACACCCGGACAGACACAGACAGTATTCATTCCTTATCAGCGAGGAAGGGGTCTGACTCAGACACGCAAGACTTACTGATTGAAACATCTTGCTGTCTCCAGCAGCTCCCTCTGCCACCAAAGGGAGGTCCCCAGTCTGCAGAGGTGAGGGGAAGGGGCAGGGGAGGATCAGGTCTGGAGAACTGGTCCTCCAACACTCTCGCTTTCCTGGCTTGAGTCATTCCCTGAGCCCTGCTGGGATGTCTACTTAGTCAGAGAAATCGTGCTGCTGTCTATCTTGGGCTGTTGCTGACCTGGTGGGAGAGTATGGTGGTGTGGCTGACCACATCACCTGTAGTGCCTGGTTCTCGTGTTGGGTAGACCAGGCTCTACAGAGTTACATCTCGCGGAGAGATGTCCTGCCTGGGTAAGAGTTCAAGGAAGAGCAGTGACCCCAGCGTGTTGGGAATCTTAATGTGTGTTTCATTTTGCAGAGAGGAAGAAGAGAAATGAAAAAGTGTGTGTGTGGGAAATGCCATGTCAGATGTGGCCACTAGTTATTGTGTTGTATTCAAAGGCCACCGGGCAGAAGGAAGTGTGTGTGGGAAGTGGGAGAGGCAGGAACGAAACCTAAAAGGCTGAGCATTGTGATTGTGAAAGTGGAAAAAAGGAGTGCAAAATGAGCAGGAGTTCATTTGAGCTGGATATTGGCTGGCAAAACGTAAAAAGGAAAAGAGAAGATTTAAAAAAAAAAAAAAAAAGCTGGGGATAAAACCAAGGGGGACAGTGTTCCAATACGAAAATAATGCTGAGCTCTTCTGTCCTGTGTTCCATGACTCATCAGGTCACCCAGAAAATTCACTGAAGAACCGAAGAGGAGGGTACAGGCCGTGCACAGGCCACTGGCTGGTGACAGAGCAATCCTTGACAGCAGATCCCCGTGGTCACACTGATCCCAGGAGTGTTGGCTATGCACAAGACTTTGCAGGATCATCTTTGGGCTCTTTGGCCAGGTTGTTCCTCTGCCCACCTTGCTGCAGCAATGGCAAACACCCTCTCTCTGCTGTGCTTCTTTGCAATGGGAAGGGGTGAGCTGGAAAAATTTTTCCATCTGTGTTGCTGCCCTTGGATTGCCTTGTGGTGTTTTTTATTTCATTTTTTCTTGCTCTGATTTGGGGTCATCACGTGGGCACTGACCTTTGGAACATGTGGGAAGGCAGACGAAAGGGTGCAGGGGCACGACTGTTGCTCTGTTCTGTGACCAGTCACAGTCCTGTCCAGGTGCAACAGGGGAGAGACTCCAGTCATGTTTGACTGCCAAGTTAATGATCACAGCCACAAATAGAGCCCAGAGGAGTTTCTTAAAATGCAGTTGTCAGCTGGAAAATGAAGCAAAAGGCCAGATCAGTATGCTACCTATGCATATGCTTCTCTGCCTTTGGTCCATACGCTTTCCCCAGGACGCCTAACTTCACTGAATACATTCTTTGCAATAATATTTACATTGGGCAGCTCGTGTGCTGTCCCCACTGTAGCCCTTTTTGCTAACTGCATACCAGTCTGTGTTCATTTTCCAAGGAGAAACAATCTTCAGCCTTCTCCATTCCCACATTTCAGCAAAAACGTCTCATTCCCAAGCATTATGGGAGAAAGACTGATCAAACAGAGCAATTAATTCAACAAACAATACAATTAAGCCATGATCCCAGTGTAGTTTCCACCCAGAAACAGAATAAACAGCCTTCCCAGCATGGATAAATAAACTCACAGATGGAGGCTTTTGTGAGTGGCGAAGTTTTCCCTCCACAGCTTTCTTGAGAGCACATAAAATTGTGGAGTACATAAATCTCTGGCTCTCCATCCTCGTGGATCGCAAGGAAGGAACTGTGCGCCTGCTGTGGGGCAGATGTGTGTTGGCTTGAGACTCGGGGAAGGGACCTGGGGACTGCGCAGAGGCGTGCGCAGAGAGGCTGCATGCAAACAAAGGCTGCTACAGCTGGCTCCTCCAACCTCCCCTGAGGCCAGCTCTTGTCACGGTCTTGACACAAAACACATGGCGTGAAAAGCTGTGAAGGAGAGGAGTGACCTGCTTCACACTTGGCTGGACTCACTTGTTACTTCGGGAACTGATAGAAATCCCCTTTTTGAACTGGGTAGCAAAACTGCCTGAGCTGATGGGGGGGGGAAAAAAAGGCTTCTGCAGAGTCCTTGGGCAGTACAGGTATATCTATATACCATGATATGTAGATACGTATATAAGCAGAAAGCAGAACTGAGCAAGCCCTTTACACAAGGAAAATGCAGGTAAACCTTCCCAGGGATGATGCTGGCTGTATGGAGGTGTAGAGATTGGGGCTGGCTGCTTTGACCCCCTCTAAAATCAGCTGCAGACCATTCTGGGAAAGGCTTTCCTGTTACCAGTCACCACTGGCCTCCATCCTGAGCTGCTGGAGTCAGTAAAATGTTACCTCCCTTGAGGGCTAATAGACAGCAGGATCATCAGGGCAGCGTGGGGAAGTAGGTTAAGAGAGCTTGGGCTGGAGACCTACAGGAAGAGCAGTCCCTCTGGGGAGCACTGGAGTGGCGGTGCTCTGTGGGGTCAGGAGAGACATCTGAACGGAAAGGAGCAAAGGGCAGGCTCAGGTTATGTTGCAGCTTGCGTGGTATCTGGGGTAATTTCTTTTAGAAGCAGTCAAGTCGGAAGCAGGAGGGAATGGTGCCATTTCTAAGAGGTGTGAAAAGCCTGAGTGATGTAACCGTGCCTGCAGTGAGCAGTCGTGGCAGTCTTGGGTGCAGATGTTCTGGAAAGAGAAAGGAGAGCCCTGTTTTTCTGAGAAGAGCCTCCATGGTGCTGTACCCCCGCTATTTGGCTGGAAAGGCTGGCTAGAAGCCACTGAGACCAGGGGAGAGGTGGGTGCTGCAGGGAGCTTCAGCTTGCGGAGTGCCCCCCACTCAGCAGCACAAGTAGGCATGGTGGCAGGCAGGGATTTGGCAGCAGCAGGGCTGAGGGAAGCTGGTGGAAGTCACTTCCCAGCTAAACCCTTCCCCAAGAAGAGTTGGAGTTCTCTCCTTTTTCTTGCTATAGAGGATGTTTCTGTTGTTCTTCTTTACCTCCTTTCCTGCACCCTGATTGCTGGACACGTTGCTCAGAATCCAGGAACTTGTTGTACGCCCAAATGGCTCAGTTTTAGCATCCAGGATCTCTGAGCAGGGACTTGAGGCAGTGAACCTGGCACCGGCCCCTGCTGCTGCTGTTTGAACCTTGGCAGGCTGTTGTGCTAATGACGAAATTAGCTGGGGAAACAACTTGCAGCCTCGCACTGGGTAAATCTGAGGAGTGGGAAGAGCAGTGCCGAGGTGTTCTGGGCTGAGGGAGCGTGCTGTACGTGATGCACGGAGCTCAGGGACAGTGCAGGAGCACCCTGGGTCAGCAGGCAGCTCGTGAGCACCGGGAGAGCTGCATGAGCCTCGTGCATGGGCCAGTGGGTGGGCAGGGACACGCTGTTCCAGCTTGAAGCCAGCCTCAAATACTGCTGGTGGTCTCTCAATGGAAAAACCTTCAGTACATGCATTAAACCCAGGTCTGTTGATAAGGACACGCATACCATGACCTAGCCATGGTTTTCTCACTCTGTGAGCAATGTTTGCTTGGGCTGATGTTATATTTTCTGGGACCTACCCTGCTGTGGCTTCATATTTATTGTTGCCTGTTAAGCAGCGGTTTTGATCATGGGTGAGCAGAATTTCAGGGCTTACATCTACTGCTCGTCGCACCCAAGGTAGGGTTTTGACTTGAAAGAATGGGGACAAACATTCCTTTCATCCTGACTACTGACTCGCACAGGCTGAGATCAGAGCCCTTCTGCTTCCAGATAGGAAACAGCTGCCATTATGTTCATTCTCTAAAAGCTTCTAGAACTGGCCGTCCTCCAGTTTCCCTTAGCAAAACCCTTTGGTGAGCTGGGAGGCTACAGGTGGGCCAGCTGCTGCGACGCTGCAGCCCTGAGCCCTGCCGTAGCTGCTGACACAGCCAGATCCCGGGGTGGAGGGAACAGTGAGGATGAGAAACTCGAGGTTTTCAAGCAAGGGTGTAAACCACTAGTGGCTTGAGAGACTTCGGAAGGGGAATAGCTGGAGAAGATTTGGAAGGCAGATGCATGCCTGTGCTCTGAGCTGACCAGAAAGGAATCACACGGCTGCAGTTCTGTGGTGCTGAGCTAAGGAGTTTCACTGGAAGGTAAAATACTTGGCTTGGGCTTGGCACTATTCTTGTTTGACTGCGTGACTTTTGGCCATCTCCAAGTGAGCTCACACCTGCCAGTAAAATGTCATGTGGCTGTCCTGTGTCGTGGGAAAGGCCGAGAGACTTGCTCTTCATCACCAAAACGGCTGCTAAACTCTATCTAGCTCAGCACTTCTCAGTCAGAAAGCTCCCTTACACTAAACCACTTCTCTTCAGAGCTAATGATTTCCAGGGCAAGGGGCTTGTTCAGTGGGAAGGCTCTCCGAGTCGAGCAAATCTCACCATCTGCAGGCAAAGAAGCTCAAAATCCCCTCTTCCTCCCAGAATTCGGTTCATTTCTTGCACTGTACAGAAACTCTGGGACGCAACTGATGATGCTGACCCATGTCTGTCCTGTTGGCAGTGGAACTGAGGTGGGAAACCATCTTCTGGGCAATAGTTTGGCTGTTACTTCTGCAGCCTCTGCCCAGAGCAACAGGCTCTCCAGGAAGTCTCAAGGATTGTACTTGTGCTTTCCTAGCAGCATGTTAGCATGGAGTTGTTGGGTGCTGAGTTCTGGATGGTGCCTGGTCAGAAGCGCTGCTGGGTGATGGAGCATGGTGTGCACAGGGGCATTGCCTCCTTCCCCTGGGGAGGCTTCATCTGGGCAAATACTCTATGTTTCCTCAATGTGTGCTTGAGCTGTACCAGATCAGAGACAGAGCAGGGAGAGGATCCTAAGAAGACAATGTGCTTTCTCTTCCTCTCCCCCAACCAGAAATTTGGTTCTCTTTGCAGGTGCACTCTGCTCCCAGCCTGCTCCAGCGCAGTCTGCAGGCCAGTCTGCAGGGATTGCCCAGCAGAAGTCTGAGCAGCGTTGGTTTGCTCATGTTTGACAGGTAAGCAGTGGGGGAGCTGTGTCACCCTGACCCTCAGATCTTGCTGTTACCTTTCTGTTGTCATTTACAAATTTCAGGGCCCCTTTCAGCAAATACTGTCACTACTTCATGACAAAGTGTGCTTCCCTTGTTGGCATCGCTTTTCAGGTACCTGTTGGATAGATTGTTTGTACTCATTGACATGGAACAAGCTCAACTGAAATGAAATCATTTATAAAAGTCAGGAGAGGCTTTGGACACTGTGGTTCATTTCCTGCCGCATTCACCAAGCTGCAATTAACATGGACCTGAAAGATTACACAGTGCTACTTGTCTTCTCTCTCCTCTTTCATCCTCTCACTTCCTTTTGCCTTCCTCATTTCCTTCTCTTCTGAGCTGGCCGTATCGTATGTCTCCGTTTTTACTGTTCTTTCTTCCCTCTTCCTCTGCTCACTCTCCACTTCACCCTTTTCCCTTCTCTTTGTGCTTTTTTTTTTTTTTTTTTTTTTTTTTTTTTTTTGCCTCTTTGCTTTCCTTATCTCTTGTATTCTTTTTTTCCTCTTGCTTTCTTTATTATCCCTCTATATTTAAACCCAGGCAGAAACAAATTATTTATGAAGGGCTGTAATTTATGATGCGTTCTTAATGTCTTGGAAGACACAGATAATTTATTTAATGAGTAAAGACATGATAATTCACACATGATGATTCCAGTCAGAAAATTAGTTTCATTAATTTGCTGTAAATTCTCTGCCTTGATTTAGTGCAGGAGGAGTTCCTGAAACCAATGCAAATCTTCACCATGGTATTTTTTTTTTTTTTTTGTCATCACAGAACCAGTGTGCAAGTGTGCTGGCTTCCCCACCCCTGCTTATCTCAGTTGCTCTTCTGCTTTCTGCTTCTGTCCCACCAACACTAAACTGCAGACAGCAGAAACACTTTTTCACCATGCACGTGGCCGGGAAGACGGAGTGGAGCAGGGATTCCAGTTCAGTGTATTTTGCAAAACCATATGCTGTTCTGCAAGATTTTGCCCAATAAGCTCAGCTCTAAGAGAATAAAAAAGTGAGTTTCCCTTTTTAATAGAGTATAGAAGGTACTTTTTCAAATAAATTTAAAAGCAGACAATTTTACGGTAGAATGTTGCTGATAACTGCAGTATATATAAATATTATAGGAAACCTATAGAAGTGATTCATGGTGTACTATTGATCTAATCAGATTTAACTAAGTGTTTGCATCATTCCTTATTAATCACAGATAATAGGCCCCCAAGGACACCTTGCAGAATCAGGACTTTTCTTTTCAGAAGTGAAAAATGTTCACTTTCATTGTGGATGGACGGGGCCCACAAATTCTGGCCTTATCTTGATGGCATCACTGCAATGCATGGAGTTTCCCCAGGAGTGAACTTTCCCCTACAGTATGTTACTTTTTTTTTTTTTTTTTCTTTCATAAAACAGATCTATTGATCATGCTCTAAACCACCTTATTGGGGGTACTGCTCTGCTGTCTAATTGATGTCAGCTTACAAATGTTTTTTACTGGAAAAAAAGGATTACAACATGAACCAGTATTCTGTGAATTGTAGAGTTGGATGGGGGAGATGTGTTTTACCACCGGGACTCTTTCCTCTTGTTGCTCATGCCTGTCCTCCCCAGTCCTGCCTCTTTTGGTTTATAAATTCTGTGCTGAGTTCCAGCTGTTAACTTCTACTTGTCTGTTCCAGGATGAGTTTTGTAATTCTGCTTTTCATGGGTTACCCTAATCCCTGGAGTCCCCTTTGTATCAACACTGCAAGAGAAGCCTCATCTCAATGGTCACATACAGAGGAGTTTGATAAAGAGCAGCGATAGGCTGGAGGATAACACTATTAGCAGATATTATCAGCACTGCTGTTCCTGCATGTGACAGAAAATTGAGCACAGGCTGGGATCCTCTTTGCTGCTTACAGGTTTGTATTAAGCTGGTTCTGGGACTGAAGTTTTGAGTATCTAACCTCTGTTGCCTGTAATATGCAATTCCACAGACAAAGCTGCTTCATGAGTCTGTTGTTCACGCTTGCTGGCTGCATAGCTCTTGAAAGTTAGGTGCATTTCTCCTTGGTTTTGCCCTATGGATTGTGTATTTTGATTACCACAGCTGAGTTGATACAAGCAGTTCTGGAGATGCTTCTTTAGAAACTTATACGTGTGCATCGGACTGGGCAATCCAGCCCCCTGCTTGTTACCTATGAAATCCCATACAAAGGGCTGTTCAGGGCTGTGGCAGGTGAAGGATTACTCTTCACCTGAAGTGAAAGCCTCCGGGAATTTCAGAAAATGCTTGAAAAGGGGGGTTGTCAGACATCTGATTAAATGCCCCAAACCTTTTCAAAGGTAAGTGATGTTGGTGAGATTTGATTGTGCAACTCTCTCAGGGTCCTCTGGTCAGCTCAATCAGGAGGGGCAGTCCCTAGGGGCTAATGATGAAGTGTGGAGGATGAGGCCTTTCAGTGCAAGGTCCTGGAGGTCTTTTTACTTGGTGCTTTATAGAAGCTCCAGGAGTAGAAAACAGCCCAGGGAACAGAGTTTGAATAACCGTGTGGGACTCTGGGTCTGTGTGGAGGCAGGTAGGTGGTCGACAGGGCTGCAGGGCTGGGGCTGAGCTTGTCCAAGAAATGGATCAGCCCTTTGGCACCTGGGTGCTGCCCCAGTGTCCCTGTGCACTACCTATCCTAGTGCTTCTTGAGCTTGGGCTCACTTTCTTTTGCTGATATTGCATGAGCCATGGGCACCTGTAGCTGTCCCCAGCTTGCTTCTGGAGATATAAGAGACATCTTCATGTCCTCTCCAAAACTGCTTCCTTCAGAAAGAGGGGATGGGGGCTTTCCTGTGCTAGAGTAAGGCTGTTCAAGGACTTTTGCATGGCTCAGCTGTGTGCCCTGGGACCTGTGTGCTGAACACCAGATGCAGGTGGGATGCAAGACATGGGTCTGCATTCCTGTTGCCTAACCCTTGAACCCAACTCTTTCTTCTCTTTGTGCAAGGGGCCTGTGCACTGAGTTTGAGATTTGCTTGAAATTCAGGTTGTGATGAGCTGGCACAGTGGGGGCTCAGCCCCTGAGTAGAGTGAACTTTCTGGATAGAGGTCACCACAGCCTGCTGCAGGTTGAGGGTTCAAAGCCTACTCGTAGCCTGGGATAGCACAATTTTACTGCACTTGGCTCTGCTGCTGGCCACAGCTCACTCCTCCTCCTTTACTAGAAGTTATCACAATGTAACTTGATTGCATTGTTCTTTACGAGGAGACTGAGTTAGATCTTGGCAGAATCTGTCTTCCCTCCCCCACGTATGGGATGAGGCCTCCCCAGGTGCTGTCTCAAGTGTACGCTCGAGCGTTTGAAACCCCTGCTTGAAGCCAGACAGATGAGGAATGAATATCCCACATGAAAATCTCCTGCCTTGCCCCGTGGCGGCGGTTTCGCGGCGTGCTGGAGCCAGCTGCACAAACACAGGAGCACGGTGCAGCCATCAGCGCCTGCCTCGCCGCCTCCTCCCAGCTCTGCCTCCAGTGCAGGCCCTCTGGAGGCCGTGCCAGCTTTGGCCTTCACGTCCTCAGGTGGACATCGCCTCTGCCTCCAGGCTTCCTGGTGGGGGTGAGCAGCTGGTGGGACTGTCCCATTTTCATAAAGCCAGCACAACCCTGCTGCTCCCCCGAGCACCCCTGGTCCCCCACCCCGTGTGCCAGGCCGGTGTCTCAGCAGTTGTTCCTGCCAAGCTGTGCGCAGGGCACAGGCTGCCATGGCAGTCACTGGAGGGTAGCAATGAATCGTTGTTTTTCTCAGCTGTTTTGAAGTCTCCTTTCTGAAGGTGGTGTGAATTAGGCTCTGGCTGTTGTGCCGGGGTGCTTGGTAGTTTTCTGGGGCTCTTCCCTCCGGAGAGAGCTCCTCTCTTCCCCACAGAGCCTGCTGCACCTGCCTGCCCCCAGGAATGTCCTGTGCCACCAGTCAGGTACAGGGGACTTGTTTCTTCTGTGTGGCTAATGCTTTTCCAGTTGATGTGGCAGAAACTGCCAAGAGAGCACAGAAGTTGCTTTCCCTTCCCTATAGCTGGAGATAAATAACCCCCTGGCACTTCTGCCCTGCCAGAGTCTCTTGGCTGAAAGTGGGGTTGGTGAGTTGTAGGAGGGGTTCACCACCTTCTGAAGATGTCAGGCTGTGCTGGGAGGTTGAAACACAAAGCCCCAAGGCTGTCACGGCCCCAAATTGAGCAGATGATCAGGGAGGCTCCATGGGAAGGACCGTGGCTTGCTAGGATCCCAGAAAGAAATTAGAAAGAAGAAATTAGGGGCCTTGCAGAGCGGCTTGTGCTGCCTGCTAAATGCAAGTTCATGTCCTGAGACCTTTTTCAAAGCACGTAGAGGAATATCTGCCTGGGGAAGTCAGTAAGTAGTGAGTCCACAAAGCAGTCTGTTTGTGCTAATCTCATATGGAACGTAATAATAGTGCTGAGCACTGGCTAAGTGCTGGGCAAATATTAGTGTATTATTTTACTTGTTGCAGAACCTGAAACTTATCTCTCTCAGTAAGCTACACTGTCTGCTCCTGTAAGCTTGCTGCCTAGAGCCTGGCTTTCTTCTGCAACCACCTTTAAGGGGCTTGGGACAGGATGTTTCAGCGGGGTAGCTGGGAAAGCCCATTCTTATTTTCGTGTTGCACATTTCCCTCCCCTCTTACTTGACTCCAGTTTTAAAGGCTGTCCTGGTTAGTTGCTCCCCACACCTACTACTCATAAAAATCCCCTGCAGAGACTCACCGGGAGGTAAGCTAGTGCCAGCAGCTACACCAGGGTGCAGCATACTGTATTTGCGTCTGCTCTGGTGTTGGCTGCCCTCTTTCTGCAAGTGACAGGCTCTGGCAAATACCAGGCTGTTCATTACCATTGCACTGCTCCATACATAATGAGGTAAAATGAAAACAACTTCTCTCACTACAGCTATGTGATCTGGGAACTCATAAAGGCTAAAGCGCTTTTAATTATGAGCTTGTTCCGATTATGCCCAGGCTTTCTGTTTCCTCCCATAGAGCAGGCCAGCCCTCTGAGGTCAAGATGAACTTCAGTTAGAGAATTTCTGGCACACAGAGTTAGGAAAACTGGAGAGTTCACCCCCCCACACCACCCCCCCAAACTAGACACCTGCAGTGTGTGATCTATTGTTCCCCAGAGGCCCGTTCTCTTGGCTATAATCTTGCTGAAAGCAGAACAAACATTTATTTCTGGACACGAAAGAACCTCTCCTTTTTCTCTGGCTCTGCAGTACACCAGGAGCCCCGTGTTCTCCTCCCAGCTGGGAGACTGCAGACCCAGTGAAGCAAGGAGCCTGAGTCTGTCAGCTCAGGCTTCTCACTCCTGGGCTCAGAACTGAGATTTCTTAAGCTGGACCCGCTCCCTTCATCCTGAACTTCAGCTGATGTGAAAATGAAATCCCAGCCCTCTCTGGAGAGGGACTGGACAATCTGCAAGCAGAGATTCAGCCTGGAAGGGCCCCCCTTCAGTTCCCTGCTCGTGCTGACTTGGGGTGAATCCCTGCCTGTGCCCCTGGGGGTAAAAGGACAGCTCAGGTGCTAGCAGCCTCCCAAAGGACATGACTGGGAGAGAAAGGGAGGCTGGCTGTGCCCCTCATCTTGGGAACTGAGACTGGGTGCAAGGCTCTGGGGCTGAAAGCCCAAATCTGTGCCACAGGGCAAGGAGCCCTATGGCTCGCAGCACTGGCTGGCCGTGTAGTAGCAGAGGGAGCAAGGAAGGTGCTCCTGTGCCAGAGTCCCTCATATATTTTGGCATATGTGCATTCAGCTTCTTAAGAAGCTGTTAGAACTAGTCTTAGTGATTTCCTATGAATTTCTCTTGCAGTTCACCTACAGGACCTTTTCTCCAGTCAAACTATATTGAAAGCATCATATGATCTAAAACACATTCCAGCTCAAATTAGGACAAGATAGCGCAGGCCTTTCTTTAGGGAAGAAGGACACATGAGGGGATAACGCATGGAAGTTGATGTGCTTGTGACTACTTCTCTACCAGCACTGAGGGCAAAAGGTCCATTTTTGTCAGGGACACTCAGTGGTACTGCATCTCTGTCTAAGAACTGTTGCCCTATGTTTTGCTGGATGCCAGTACAGCTGTAACAGTTATGGCCAATTAATTAGGACTGCTTCCCCTTGTTTTCCCCTTATAAATCACTTCCTCTTTAGTCAGTCCACAGAGAAAACAAGGGAAGAGTGAAATAAGTCTGAAGTAAAATATGAACCTCCCTTTTATTCCATATTTCAGACAATAGTAGTCTGCAGGACACCCAGGGAATAGGTTTTCTGAGCCAATGCTCTGTGAATTCACACTCTCTTTATGAGCCTCTTCAGTGTATAAAGTGAAGTTTTTAATGGCTGTTGCTGTTCCTTTTGAATGGCTGTGAAGTCTGGGTCATCGCAGATCAGAGTAAATTCCCCTCCTCTTCACTGCCATCAGAATTAGCTTTTCCTAACTACAAAGCCTGATGAGGGCGGGTCAGCCCAGAGCTCTGCCATGATGAGGATCTTAATCAGGGTTCCAGCCAGTGTGCTCGCCCTGATTGGGAAGGAAGAGCAGGATGATTTTTTTTCTTGTGTGTTTTGCGTCATGTAAAGATTTTCACGAAATGACCTTTGGTCAGCTCTACAAGCAGAGAACTCTGCCACTGCATGGAGGTGGGCCACCACCTTTTGCCAGAAGGGAGGGAGCCTGCAGTGGATCTGATATTTGCATGAAGCCTTGGATTAACACGGGCCCGATTTCCGTATATTTCAGTATTAGGGCCCAAACGCTTTTCTCTGTCACTCCCTGGCCAGAGGCAATGCTGGCTGGACCTTGCTTCACGCTGTACTGTGACCTGGTATGTCCAGGAGCAGTCCTGTGCCCCGGAGGGATGCTGGCGGGGTCT